CACGATGGTATTACAGTCATGTGAAGTATCCCACCAAGTTGCTGTTATGCTAATCATATCATAGTTCTGTGACTGTCTGAGGGCTTCTACTTCTTCCTGCTTGTTTCTGACTATACATTTGGGTACAGACATCTGAGGTGATTAGCCAATTGCACTGATTTCTCAAGAAGAATGAGAAGACCTCCCTTGTTGCCCCTTCCTTCTTGCACTTCCCCCAGGTTACCCACTTCCTCACTTACCCTAGAGCTTTGGTCTCTAATCCCTTGGTGAACCTAGTTTAAAGACCTCCTCACTACATTAGTGAGCCTGTCTGCAAAGATGATCTTCTCTCTCCATCAGGTGGAACCCATCTCTTCCTAGAAATCCTTCTTGGAACAGCATTCTGTGGTTGAAGAAGCCACAACCTTGGTGGCAACACCATCTGATGAGAAGCCATGCATTAATCTGCAGGATGTGTCTACTCCTGCTTGGGCCCTGTCCCTTGACTGGAAGGATCAAGAACATCACCTAAGCCCCTGTCCCCTTCACCCTTGCACCCAGAGTCACTTTTGATATGCTCAGGGTCACTCCTGGCAGTATCACTGCTCACATGGATGAGCAGCATGGGGTGGTAGGTAGCCAGAGGGCTGGATAATCTCATTAATCCTTCTGTGACATCTCAGATCTGGGCTCTGGGTGAGCATGAGACAACAGGTCAGACTGGCATATAGATGCCTCCATCCCCCGCAGAAGGGAATCCCCAACCACCACCATCCATCACTTCATCCTGGTGGCAGTGGGCTTGATCCTCCCAACTTTGGGGATACCTGGCCTGGCCTCTTCCAGCAATGGAATATGTTCCTCCTCTGTTGATAGTGCTTCATATCTGTTCTCTAGGTTGACCACTAAAGTTAGAGATGAAGACTTCTGCTTGCTGCCAGAGGTCACAAGCTTCCAGCTTCCACATTTCTAGGAGTCCATGTCCTCTTCCTTCTCTAGTACCACTTCTGCACCTTCCTCTGCAATCCTAGAGGTTTTCTTCAGCACTGAGTCAATGAAATCTTCATGACAGAGGATGCTTTGGAGCCTCAGCACTCCCTCCTGTAGCTCTCTTGCCTGTTCCCTGAAGGACATCGCCAGGAAGCACTTTTCACATGACAGGCACTCCCCCATCTGGCTGTCACTAGAAAGAACCTACAAGCCACAGTCTCCACAGTGCCAAACCAGAACCTGGGTGGAAGCCTCAACAATGAGCAGTCCTGTCTGGACACACACCTCACAGGTACAAGTAGAAAAAGAGCTGATAGTGGCAGTGGCTCTGGCATTGCAGCATCCTCCGACCATTTCTCTGGGTCTCTGTAGGTTAATTACTCTTACAGAAAGAGCTTATCTTAAAGGCTCCCCTTCAAAGAGGGGAATGGCAAACTGACCTGAGAACTGACCTGTGAACTGCTTGCAAACTGCCCTGTTTGCTCACTCCCTGGTTGTCTGGGGAGTCTCCTTTTATACCTTCCTGGGCTCGGACTGGCTCTGCCCCCTTATTAGGGCTTTAGTCAGATACAGAAAGCAATGACCCAGCTAACAGCTCTCTCAGCTGCTCAGAGCATATACCCAAACACACAGCCCATCAAACAAACACTCAGCAAGCCAAATACACAGGAACCCCTGTCTCTCATACCTTCCCAGAATAGGATCTGGTACCTGACTCCCCTTCCTCTTCTTTTTTCCTCCCAGAGAACTGCTTGCAAACTTCCCTATTTGCTTCCCCTATTCATTTGCTCAACTGGTGGGGGCTCCCCACAGGTTGAGCAATTTGGCAGTGTGGGAGTGGCAATTAACACTGACAATGTTCTTCTGCTACTAAATTTCCATATCTATGGGGAGACCACTGGGGTAGATAACATAATCTTGTGGACCGGATCTGGCCTGTGGGTCAGAAGCTGAGCACCACTGGTCTAGCAATACCAGTAATTTCACAATTCACCTGTCAATCTTCAAGCAAAGATACTTGACCAAGGCTATAAGCAGTCTTCATGTTATATCCAGGGAGAAAGCCAGAATGATGGGTCCAGGAGTCATAGACTCATAGACATTAGGGCTGGAAGGGACCTCGGAAATCATCGAGTCCAGCCCCTGCCTGAGGAGCAGGAAGTCAGCTGAGGTCATAGGATCCCAGCAAGATAAGCATCCAATTTTCTCTTGAAGGTGCTCAATGTAGGTGCTTGCACCACCTCCAATGGCAGGCTATTCCAGACCTTGGGGCTTGGACAGGAAAGAAATTCTTCCTTATGTCCAGCCTGAAACGGTCTTGCAGTAGTTGATAACCATTTGACCTCGTCATCCCTTGGGGCGCTCTGGTGAACAAACGTTCCCCCAGATACTGGTGGTCACCCCTGATAAACTTATAGGTGGCCATCAGATCACCCCTGAGCCTGCGCTTTTCCAGGCTAAAGAGCCCCATAACTCTCAGCCTGTTGTTGTAAGGTCTGTTTTCCTGACCTCTGATCATGCGCGTGGCTCTTCTCTGGACTCTCTCAAGCTTCTCCACATCCTTTTTGAATTGTGGGGCCCAAAACTGGATGCAGTACTCCAGCTGTGGCCTCACCAAGGCCGAGTACAAGGGGAGAATGACGTCCTGGGATTTGCCTGAGAAGCATCTGTGGATGCAAGCCAGCGTTTTGCTCACTTTACTAGCTGCAGCATCGCATTGAAGGCTCATGTTCATCTTGTGGTTAATGATATTTACTGTGTTTCTAAGGCACTGTGAGTTTGGGATAGAAGACAACTGTATGTTTTAAATATTGTTATTAGATTTTAAAAGCAACTAGCCTAATCTCAATTGTTCATCTCTAGGTGGTTTTATAACAGCACAGGGTGGTGGGTGGCAGCAGTGGCTACCACATGCAAGTGTCCCCCCCTCACTCATCCAGCAGGCCGGACATTCCAGTTAGTAGTGTGTGCCAGTTACTAAAATGCAGTTAACACAGCGTTTACTGTACTACTGACCAGGCCAACAACTTTCATCTGACTGTCTTCATGAAACATAACTGGCCTATAGCAACAATACTGGTAAAAGCTCTTTCCTAAGACTACTTACCTAGGCACTATTTTCAAAAACTCTGATTCAGTAAAGCATTTAACAATGAAATCATGCTTGAAGATAAGCACGTGATTCAGTACTTTCAAGGTCAAAATTAATGTGGCATCAAGTAGCAACTAAGCCCTACATGTGCTTGATGTTGGTCATGAGACCCATTACAATCTGTAGATGATGTTCCTGCTTTTGGTGACTGAAAATGAGTGTCCTTTGACCCTTACTCCAGTAAAAGCAGCCCACTGCTAAGCAGGCTGATTTCCTGCAACTCGAGTCCAATAGAGGGTTCCAGTTAACATATGTAATTTCTGTACTATTGAATTGGGTATAGAAAGATATAACCAGTATTAGTTTATTTTCCTACATCCAGACAAACACCAATTCTCAATCAATTCACTCTTGTGACTTTCCACTTTTACCAGCATAAGTGACTGGAAACCAGTCTGTACCTGTAACAGAACAGAAATTTGGCGCGCACAGACTGGTTTAACCTGGCAGAACCTGGTCTAAGATTTGCCCTCCACACCAAAGGGTGAATGTGTGCTCTGTTCACTACTGATCTAAACTACATTGGTTACATAAAACTGAACAACTTAGATCAATTCTGCTTCAGGCTTTTTGGATGTCTGTAAGTAGCCAATCAGACCACTGTGATTTGTCTTGCAAGGAATGCAACATCTGCTCACAGCGTAGCCAGCTTCCTTATTTCAACTAAGTGACATGCCACCTGTATTTTCAGGTCATTACTATATCCCATGCAGAATACACAGACTTTGTACGTCTCTTCCCTCTAAAAAAGTAGGAAATTGTATTTTAACTAATGTTTAAAATATTGAGGTTGAAGAGATAAAACACTCAAAAATTAGGAAATTTGTCAATTAAGATTCAAATTAAAAATAGCATGTGCTCATGAAATTGAATGTATTCAACATGTGACAGAATGTAGCTGTATGAGAAAAATGAATTAATGCCTTAATTCAGACATTTCCTAACTTCTGAATACTTGATTTTGCAAATTAAATTGTTTTAACTTTAACTTTGTTTTAAAGAACAGTTTAATTTTAATGTAGTTTCCTGAGGTTTTTTGTTTGTTTTTTTAAAAAACACAACACAAAAACTTAAGTATTGACCAAAAACTTTCATCAAATGAAGCCATAGTGATTTCCCAATACAGGTCATCAGCAAAGTAGGAATCGGAGATCTTTAGATTTACAGCACAACCTTCACTACTGTTTGAGCTGAGTGAAACTAAAAGAAGAAGCTAGCACCTTTGTAGATCCTCTGCTACAGAGGGATGGAGTGGGTTTCACAGCTACCTGCTAAGTAACAAAGAAATGTGGAGGCACAGGTCCCTCCTGCATTCAATACCAGATTATATTTCAGTGCATTCTACTGATCAGACCATTTTGCTCCTGTTTCTTCTGTCTGCTTGTTTAACCTATCTGCTCCAATTCGTAGACATAATCTACTGACTCCTATAGTTTCACCTCATCTTTTAACAGTTTTTGACACACACACACACACACACACACCTTTGGGAAACCCTCCTGTGTACTCCAGTGTACATACTTTGTCCACTGTGACCCTGAAGCCTCCTTGCAAAGAAGCATTCACCTTACAAGAAGTCTCCCAAAACCATAAACGTTTACATTTGTTACACACCCTGGGAGTATATAACATATTTTATCCATTTTTACTCTTTTAATGGAAAACCAAAGATCTGTAGAAACCAACCTTTTCCAAAGGATCAATATCAGAAGCATTTTTTTATTATCCATAGCAAAGATCAACATTACATTTATGGGTTAATTTATTTTGTAACTGTTGTAATTACTGTGTACAAATAATTTTCTAAAGCTTTCTACTACATAACAAATATAAAGAGATATACTAAAGAAATGATGAAACAAAAATCTATAATGCTTACCCCCAATGCTGGCAGTCTTTGTGTGCAACCGACAGCAACTTTTAGCTTCCAGTCTGTTTCACCATCAAGCTGGTCAGTTCGAATAAAACATGAACCTTAAAATTACAAAGCAAAAAAAATTCAGATAAGACTATTGGTTTTCATTTTATTTTATTTTTAGATTCTATAAAAAAAAATTAAAATACTTTTCTAAACAACCTTTGATCCAAAAACCTAATGGACTTTTCATTAATGTACACATCTTGTATTGGTTAAGTCAGCGGTTTTCAATCTTTTTAGACTTGGGACACCACTTACGGCTAGGAACAGACAGTATACATAAAGTGGTTTAAGTGAACAGAAACTGGTTTTAACCTGTAACAGAACAGATGCTCATTGAACACAAACCAGTTTGAAAATGGCTGAAACTGGTTGAATGTAGTATCTGACTTAACTGATTTGGGTCAAACCAGTTTATGCAATGCCTGTCCCAGACCCCTTGCTGGCACCAGTCGCCCATGCAGAGATCCCTTTCTCATCTCTCCCACAGCAGGGACTGTAGCCAGCATGTGGTCTACTAGCTAATGCTGTATAAGGCAGATAGGGCATTATGGAGGTAATCAACATCTCAGCTGGTAATGTCCCTGCATTCCTTCCTTTGCAAAAAGCTGTTTAAAAAGAGCTTGTAATGAGTGAGGCTTTGTTTTCTGATGGAATGTGAAATGCTGATAACAGCTGATAGATGCTCTGTTATCAAGAGGGGAGGGAGGGAACCCCTCCCTAATCACAGTGTCCTGCCAGGGCCTGGCCACGCCCCTCTCAGGTCCCTGCAGAAGGAAAAGGAGGGCTGCTCTAGCGCCCCCCAGCTTCTAGCCTGAGTCACTGCAGGCATGTGCCTGCATTTCTGGGATGCCTGGTTACAAAGCTGATTTAGCCTATCCAGGTTAGACTAACCTGCAAAGATTGAATCAATTCAGCCTCAGGCTTTCCGAATGTCTGTCCCTAGCCTGTGAGACTTGAAGCACCACTCAGACAATGTCAGTTCTTAGTTCTCAGTCACTTTTTGGCTACAGAAAAATAATAGAGCAATTCACTGATTGCAAAGAATACAGAAAGACAACAGGTCAGAATATTTTCAACGCTATGGATTCCTGTTTAAAAATCTCTGGGTTTATCTTGTACACCTAACAGCATCAACATTGTGAGACAACCTGCAGCACCCTCAAGGCAATTCAGGCTGCCATGGCACTCTGGTTGAGAATCACTGGGTTAAATGCTTTTTGAAAGAGATGCTGAGAACATGACAGTATTTTAGTAGTTTTCAGGATAAGAATAAAAATACGTATGCAAACAATCAGAAACATTCTACATTGTAAATATTTTCACATTGTATAAATTCAGTCAGTAAATGAAATATGCTGAGCAAAATAAATTTTAGGTGCAACTCCCTTGACTTCAAAGAGTTTGAAGCAGGGATAAGAGGATTTTGTTGGTTTTTAGAATTGATTTACAACTGCTTCTGAATTTTGTAATCATTTTAATATCTCAGAACTGCAGAAATACTCAGGCTGCTGTCCCATTTAGCTGATGGGATACCATATACTTGTTAAACTTACTTCTAAAACTGACCCAGCTCAACAGAAATATTAAAATTACCATATTTACTTGAATATATAGTCAAGTAAAGCATATTTAATTGAATATATATTCAAGTAAAGCTATGCTAAAGCAGGGAAAATAAATCGGGGTGGGGGGGGGGTCAGGTGGCCCCCTTGCCATCGGCCTCCACAACTTCTTGCAGCCCCTTGCCTCACTCCCCATAAACTGTCAGACCCTGCTCTCCCTGAGCACATGGAAGTGAGGGGCAAATTTGAAAATACTGACTTTAAAATAAACAGGCCCATACTAATTTGCATACAGACAAATTATTATAGGTACCCACAGACTTAGTTCATATAGAATTGATGCATTTAACCTGTTTTCAAACTGCTGCAATTTTAGCACAGGTACTCTGAAAACACACCTTTAAGCTGCACTTTTGTACCTATTTATATATAATATAAGCTATGCATATATTAGTTCAAACCCAAAAGGCTCATGATTTACCATATAGATCATTGGGCTGGGAGCCAGCTGAGTCAATGGTGTTTCAAGCCATGTTGACCCCACTGCTCAGTATGTGTGTGTACTCCAGATCCCCACACAAAGGAGCTATGCGCTAGTTAGCCCCTCACTCATGACTGGAACTGGGTGTTCTTGTCACAAGTCCTAAGATCCTCCAAAAATTTATAAGCAGATGAAACACAGGGCAACCTGGTCTGATGTTTGCCAGATATTTAAGGCTTGTGAAGAAGCAGGAATCATTGGAACTGGGAAAGAAAGGCACAGTTCAGCTGTGGGACTGAAGAGGAATTCAAAATATATTCAATGTAATAGCTCACCATGACTTGAAAAAGAGTTGAAAGTTGAGAGGGACTGAGTGTAGTGGGCATTACCATATATCTTATTCAGATGGGCTGCACTAACCTATCCTTCTGGTCATGGATGACTGGTGCCTCTTGAGTTAGGGGGGGCACGTGCCCCACCCCCAACACCAGCCAGCAACCAGCACTTGATTCCACTGACTGGGGGGGCAAGTCTCCCAGCAGCCAATCTCACTCACCAAAAAGTGGCTGCATCATTTCTGGAAGTCCCGGGGCTACTTTTGCTGGTGGCCCCGCTCCCTGGCTGGCGCTTGCTTGGGGGGGGGGGGGGGAAGGGAGGCACTGGTGCTCCCGCTTGCCCCCCTGCCCACTGGCTAAACAGGAAGTGTGGCCTGACAGGGGGTGCACTGGTGCTCTCAGGGGGTGCACGTGCACTTCCATCACCCCTGCTTCTGGTAGCTTCCCATAAGCAGCTCAGCCTTTTTGGCTAAGAGCAAATGTAAGATGAGGAGGCTTTTTCCCTCATGCTGATTGGAAGGGAAAAACCTTCTCTTATATTCAAGAGAAACTTCTCTTATATTCAAGTAAATATGGTATATGTAAAGGAAACTCCAAAATAAATGTAAGAACTTATGCAGAAATCACAAATCTAAAACTCAATAAACTTTTGAGCATGTTCTACTAAAATTATAATGAAATTTCATATGACATAGAAAAGAAAGTTACTTGCATGACAATTTATACAAAACCTAAGCTCTACTGCTAAACAGTTAGAAAAATCAAGGTTGGGGGAAAAAAAATAAAGATAACTGCTTTCTGGATATGGTCAAGACTGGTACACTACTATTCTTGTTACTTAACTAACATTCTAGAAAAGCTACAGCTGAATATTGCAGACTATCAGATCAGAACCTTTCTTAGCTTTATGCATGACTGATATTTGCAGCTTATTTGCACCCTTCTTAAAATTATTGTTATAACATCTAATGTATTACAACATCACTTCTCATCCCTGAAAGATTAGAAGAACTAAGCACTGGTACACTATACACAATTACAACTAGAAGAGAATAAAATTGTCTTCTTAAGTGATTTATACTAAATTTAAAATGATAATCTATTTTAAACGTATATACAATGTACATATTAGGCTGTACCCATTTAGCAAACTTCATAGCCTTACAATGCAATCTATCCCATTAAAATCTTACTTAATGCAATAGTTTCACCTCTATAGATGATATGGTAGCAATTAGAAACATGCTCACTGGCAAAGGAACTTCCCTTGTCTAGTTTGAGTTCTCTTATATGGACAATTAAACAATGAGCTAAAAGTAGTACCTCTCATAGGCAATGTACCAGAAAGGGAAGACAAAATTAAAAAAGGTATTGTATTACAGGAAGCAGGCTGACAAAGTGCCAGGAAGTACATTTTGTTTGGGTGTCCGAATCCAAATTAATTTAGTGTCACAATCAAAGTACGTGGACTCCGATGTAAGTAAAGTCTAGCACAACCCAATGTTTTATTCATTAATGCCTGTAAATTTAGCAGCTCATTGAGCTAACTGTCTGAAAGGACATGGTTGAGAGAGAAGGCATCTGAAATTATATCTGACCTGAAGGTGGCATTTTCACACAACACTCATTTGAGAAGTGTGTCCTTGATAAATAACTGCATGTCCATTTGGTACATATTAAATAAAGCAGTTTTTTAAAAACAGAACAATGCCTATTTTTTTAAGACTTTCAAAATACTTCACAGGGAATGCACAAAAAATCTCTTCCGAAGTTCAGTTTCAAAGAAGCTATAAAATATTAATGCCTTAAAAGCTGTTGTTGGCCTTTGGACGCAATGCTCAATGTATTTACCTTTCATAAAATATGAAAATATTATAAAATAACTTTTGAGGAGTCTTTTGCCATGTATGGAATGATAATTAAGGGTGAAGTACCTAAGAACACCAGAATCCCACTGTACATTCCAATCTATGGCATAGATCACCAGTCTACTTTCCATCATACTTTTCCTATACAAGACATTTCATGGTTCTCTTTACCCTTCCTGTCAATGGCTGCTCTCATCCATCAGTTTCATTTAGAATTATACTATAGATCAATGCAGTTCAAGACCAATGTGGCTCCCAATGAATGGTTGACTGCACATATATTCATTTAATAGAGCTCACACTATGACATATATTGGCCAGCTGCATTTCCTCTCCACTTCAGCAGTTAATTTCATCAATAACTTATCTCATAGCACGTTTCCCTCTTATCCAGAAAAAGTGACTGCTTTGTGCCAAGTCAGCTTTCAGTAGTGATCACGGTAGCAAAACTGAAACAATAAAGCTTTTCCCCCATTTTGAGATAGTTCTTTATCAGTATTGACAAAATAACTTAAACAATACTCGGAAATAGCATTTTTAAATTTATATGACTAAGGGGTAGGTATGCAAAATTACACAAGTAATTGAAAATAAATAATGTCTGATAGGAGTGAGACAACTCCATGTTTTACACCATGCACTTATAAATACTGACACAGCATACATAATACTTTGAGACTGTATCTATAAAATATAATTTAAAAGGTAAACCAAAACATCATGAAAAAGCAGGACTAAAAATGCAATAGTTAGATGGCAGTACTGAACGACCAACATACATTCAATCAAAAATGTGTACTGTTTTAG